CCACTATCAGTTACACAGCACCGCCCCGCCTAACGCATTTGTCAGCTCCGCCGCACCGCCCCGCCTAACGCCACTGTCAACTCCGTCGCACAGCTCGAGACACAGTGGCAACGCCTGGGAGCACCAGCCAAATGCTGGCTGGGTAGCAACAACGCGAGGCTATTTATAGAAGACGGGAGACAGGGGGCATGCGCGCAGACATCAACGCCTCTCTCAGACAATAATGTTTGCGTTGCAAGTTTCAGGCAGGTCTTAGCTGCCGGTCCGTCCCGCACACCGCTCCACACGAACCTCGGCCCTCCGTACCAGTCGGTGCGTCACCTCCAGACGCGACGGATTGAGGAAACAGTGTGCCGGCCCGACCCAAAATTTTATCCTAAAAAATCATCAGCTAAATTGTTTATACCTTTGGCTTATTATCATTTTTCCAAACTATTCATACGAACATTTTTCATTTTCTAACGATGCGTCTGATTTTCCAAAGTAAGTGCTCATCTTTGTAAGGTAGCACTTGTTCATCTATGGTAGATGAGTTCAAAAAGTATCTGTGAAATCTTCTATCTCGAAGCAGTGGTCATATCTATAATTTGTGCAAATCTGAGCTTCAAGACATTTGCACGCAAAAACGTAGTTTACGAAATTAAGCGTTAACTGTGTGAACACATGGGAGGGGCTAGTATGGATTACATGCGCCCTGTTCGTTTGAGATAAAATGAATACCTGCGAGACGCTAAGAACAAAACAGGGAATACCCCTTTCGGTGACCTTTTTTTGGCAAATCACGGGACATCCAGGGAGGTATGGACCCCAGGCCCTTTTTAGAGTACAAAGTCATCTATAGAGCATAGCCACCAACATAGGATCACAAGCGAATCTTTCCTTACAAAAAGTTGGCGACCAAACCTTAACGCACAGAGCACATCCTAGCTGATTATGGGAACGTGATGTGCCTTGATGTGTAACGTGTGCTAGCTTAAAATCTTTTACATGAGAGATGCCGGACTGCTGATGCGCGATGCCTGTTTAATTGAAGTCGTTTGCACGTATAGTTGATGCATGATGCGTGATGCCTGTTACGTCAACTTGCTTGCATGTTTGAATGAAGCGTGATGCGCAATACCTGTCTTCTTGAATTCGTTTACACGTGCACGTATTTTTCGCGCATTTTAATGTTCAGTTAGATATGTACTGTATGGTACAAGTGTCTGACAATTACTCCTTGCTTAATCTCCTGAATGTTAGTGTCCTGTAAAAACCGTGGCTCGCTGTCTAAAAACCCCTGACAATCAAGTAGAATCATAGGCAGGCAATCACGAAGTCACTCTTGCCATTCATTTCGATGAAGAAATGTTTCCAAAATATCAGTGCATCTATATCTCCATTCTCCTGACTTTTCTCCGAGGACTTAGGCTGTTACTGCTGTCTTATCTGTGTGCGTAATGATCATCACCAACGCATTTCACAACTTACGTAATTTTTGTTCCGGATAATCGGGGCTTCTCTGAGGTCAGGTAAGCACAGCTCTTGGCACCGTCAGTAGCTCAAGAGTTGGTTCCTATATGTTACAAAAGGCCGATTCATCGCGTGCCTTCGCGCCTCAAGGACAAACGGCGATGTGCGCGCAGTATGGCATGATTCGCCCGGAAGGCATCCCAACATTTTGACATGCACCTGTGGGCTAGTACCTTTCAGACTTTTGACATTACGCTCGTAACACTGTGTCATCACTTCTCGCATCACGTCTGAGCATGCGAAATCCCTGCATTTGAACGCTGATCAGCAGTTCCACGAGCTAAATTATCCATCGCATGCCTAACCTAACCCAGCCTAGCCGGCCTTCAAAACCGGTTTCGTCACAGTTGAAGGTGATTGATCCAGAGATTGTATACGTTGGCGCACGGTAGCCGAGAATGATCGAGTAGGTCCTTCACCTAACTACACCACAAACGTTAGCTTAGGTGCATCGGACTTGAGTGTTGTGACATAATGGTCTCGGATTATTGTGACACCTAATGCGTCAAATTCACCCGGAACTACTTACAAGAGTCAAACGGGTGCCTGCCAGGATGCTTGGAAAGCCCCACTCAGGTGCCTGGTCGTCCTCAAATGCATCATCGATTGTTTGTTTAGCCGCCGCGCATCCTCGCCTCACCTTCACACCAGTGATGCTCAGGACATCTCAAAGCCACTGATCAACTCAAAAGTTCCTGGTTGCTTACGATACGGTTGTCCGTCTCAGAAGGCAATCAGCCGTCCTATCGCCGTAAGGGATTGCAGCCGTGCCGCATTGGTTCATTCAACGCGGCACTATTGGTTAGCACTGTTGCGATAAGATGGGCTTCTCTGCAGGCAGCAGGCCCCTGATACGCTGTTTACGCGATGTCTCTCATGAGATATTAAGCACAGCGACTCCCAAACAGTGGGCGCACTCTTTATGACGCCTAACAAGCATTACAACTGTTCAGAAAACAACAGAATAGGACCGCGGTGTGGCGAATAGTCGCCAAGTAGATATAATAAGTTCTGTCTCACGGTGACGGTAGTGAAATAGTTAATCGGCGAGTCTGGGAAACCCGAGGTGCCTCCTCGGTGCCTGCTCACCCTGCCAAGGTGCGAGGGAAGTTACGCCATATAGCTTCAGCAGCTGGGAGCGTCGTGAAGCCCCAATGACGCGCCACGCCTTAATGTCATACGAAAACTTTCAAGGCTCTCAATTCTCACCTCAAAGAATAGTTCTGACAACAGAGCAGCACCTGAAACTATGTCGCCTTCACTCTTTGTCCTCGGTCATAATGCTGTGGACCAGATCGCTCCCAACGGGAGAACCACCATGTGGTGTTCGCATCCAATTGGGGTCGTCAAGGCAAATGCTTTTCAAAGTTATTACAGCGAAAGAGGCGCGTTCCTCGCGAAAAGAGCGGCGCAAGAGGGGTCAGGATATTTGGGGCAGCTCTTCACATATCTAAATCAATATCGTCGTTGGTGGACCCGATTCGTTGTAAGAATATAATGACAATATTACGCAACACTGCTAGAGTCGGACCAGTAGAAGACTGCTTGCGACAAGGGAGAGAGGGAGCTCTCACGATACTCCCTGAAGCGGCTCGGATGATCCAATGTTTCTCCTGGTCGCCGATACATTTATCGAAGCGCCAGCTGTTGTGGCCGTCCGCGTCGCAGCTCTCGCCTCGACTCTCGTGCTGCGGCCAAGGCAGCACACAAGCGCCGAGGCTGTCAACCTGGGATCGGTTAACGTCGCCACCAGGCGCCCAATTGCCGCGCCGCTCCCACCTCAGTGAAGGACGTCGGTACTCGGTAGGCGCGGTTCGAACGCGTCGCGTCGGCATGGCATGGCCCGCGCCATCCAAGTCGTTCACGATGAAGGCGGGAGAGCACGTAGCGACTCATGACGTCAGGTGATGACGCCATGGCTGCTCCCATCTGCCGTTCAATTCTTGCGGCCCTCGTAAGGGGGATCGTCGCGTCTTTTCTTCCGGTATTCGCGTCTTCTGCTGTTCCAGATGTCAGAGGCAATGCCATCGCAAGCAATGTTGCTACTTCTCCTCTGATAACGGCAGTGTGCACCCTCCTGTCCCTCTTCTTCGCCGGCAGTGACGCACATTGTACATTTGTTTGACTTTGTCAGACATTTGTTGAAATGCATCTCACTTCCTCGTATACTTAAGAGGACTGAAATGTTCCACTTCGTCACGAAATCCTTCACGAACAGGCTTACACACGGCCCATCACCTTTGAGATGATAAACGGCATTTGGAAGACTGCATGGATCTGCAGATCACTGGAGGATCAAACATGACGGGATCTCTTTAAACTGGCATTCACTACCTCGTAGCGGACCCCATCCCTCCCGAGCCACTTCGTTCTGATAATCGCGCCATTCACGGCCAGCGTTTGATCGGTCGACAGCTGGGAGGACTTGCGAAAAGGGTAGCCGGCCTTGTTTCACAGCACATATTCTGAAACAGAACACCAATCTGGCTGGCGAATTCCGCCGCATCACAGCCCACAGTGGCAGCCCCGCGGCCCGCCCAGCTCCAGTTCAGAGCGGGCCTGTTCAGAGTGCACCTGTTCATGATGGTGATCATTGGGCTTTAGATCGCGCCGACTACTAAGGTCATGTCACGTCCAGCGGACCTGCTCGGAGGGGACCTGTTCTACCCGTGCCGCCGTTCCGCGAATCAGAATAATCGACGGCGCGTCACCGACTCCCCAGCCTCACCGTTCCTCCGCCCCCCCCCCCCCCGTACGGTGGTCAGACCTCCCCGAGGCACCGCCTCCCCCGCGCCGGCGGCTCCGGAGCCGTCCCGCCTGTCAGTGCGGGCCGCGCAGTGCGGTGTCGGCTCGTCGCCCAACGCGCAACACACTTCAGCGCCCCGCCACCGGCGATTTACTGCTGGGAAAGCCCCGCGCCCCGCCAACTAATCGACACCGTGGCAGCGAAAGAGCCGCTGATGACCAAATAACGTTTATTTCTGATAGCCGTAAATATTTACACTGGACGTGGCCGTTCGAGCACACGGCATTTCGTGAAAGATGGCGGCCGAAATACCGCGGCGATGGAAATAACTCATGTGCCGCCATGAGCGCCCGTCGCTCCTAGCGGGGCCCTCTTCCCGCAGCGAAACCCGGCAACCCGGCACAAAGAGCCGGGTTGCCGGGTCTGCGGGGCTGCCAATGGGCTGACGGCAGAAGGGGCCACCAAGCTGCTGGAGGGGCCACCAGGCTGCAAAATGGGGCCACCAAGGTGCAGAACGGGGTCACCAGGTTACAGGAAGGAGCTACCGGGCTGCTGGAGCGGCCCGCACTTCGGAGAACCCGGTCAGGCCAAAGACGTAGGGGGGATTTCGGGAATTTAGACAGCATCGTGATATAGCCACAAACGTAACGGCACCAGTTACACAACAGCGTATTAGTCACTAACGCACAAGCCGGGTTATGGCCATCAAGACTTTTGCCGGTCGTCATTGACGGGTTCATACCCTTCGTTCTGTATTTTGTCCTTGAATTTCAGGTAGCTTCGTTTCCGGTCAAAGTGCTTCACCTGGAACAGACGGCATCTCGTTAAGCCGATTGTTTATTTCTAGCGGCGTACACACAGCATGCATACGCCTCATCACACAGCCGCATCGACATGGCAAGACGATATGTGATTGAGCGCACCGATTTGTGTGGTAACAAGAAACCTGAAATTAATTATTCGCAGCCGTGGACATCCATTTTCGGCAACACTCACTTCCTCGAGGGCGTTCATCCTGTTTGATCTGCACGGCGCCTCTAACATCCCGGTACATTTGTAACGGTGACACTGTCGTTGATGCACACGTATCTACCTACAAAAATAAGCATGGCAACAGTTGTGTCTGCTAGGCACCGATAGCCGGCGATTCAATGGGATTCACGCTCCGTCCTCTTGAGACATAAACATTCGAGTGGATGCTGCCCCGGTACAATTTCCAGCGTCCACAAATTAGCCCTGTCTGTCCGAATCGTTATCCAGTGTGCATTTGAGTCATTGGAAAGCGACGCGAGACGCGCATGATGCTCACATCGTCATGGAACACGTACGCAAAATGCCGTCTGCAAATCATTACTGAAGTTTGTCAAAGAGCAGAGAATCAAAATACGAGCAGAGAGTCCACCACAAGCATTCACGAGCTACGCCGTTTCACGCACCGCGCACAAAACTGTGCTGTCGCAGATTCTCAATAGGAGACACTCCACAAAGATAAGTCAGGCTGACGTTTGAGTGGTTCGCCTTTGTGGATGACCCCGTGTAGACTTACTGTCGGCCTACTTCTCGCGCAGCATCAGACTTAGGAGCAAGACAGCGCAAGAGCAAAAACTTACACAGCAATAGATTATGCTGCCCGGATCAGCCTCGCACGTTTCGCCCGAACTGAGATTGCCGTTGTCTGCCAGGATGCCCCAGAAAGGGGAAGACGATAATGCCATTCTGCTACAGAATTGATCCACGCCAAAAGAGTCACATGATTTCATGCGAGGCGATGAAACGAGATGAACTAAAATTTCGCGGAGCTACCAGGCGCTGATGACTGCAAACCTCGAAATGTAGATATGATTTGGACGCAACTGCACTCTGCACGGAGGCACGCAGAGGGAGCATTCCTTATTGCACATATTATACGTCTTCCTCGAAACCATCACCATCCTGCGGTCGCCATAGCAAAGTGTGTTTGTTTTCATATGCCGTCACCGCCGGTTATCTAAGTGCGCTATTGGCTCCTGCATCGGACGTCCTTGTGAGTCCGTCTGCGCATGAATCGCGGCGCACCCTGTCACCAGGAGGGCTGACGGTTCTCCCCGCTGATTCTCTAACGCTCACAACAGGTGGCCAATGACTCAGTTTCCCTTTGATCCCCGACCACCCACACATCAGCTGATGTGGATAAGCCGGCACGGCTCTCGCCGGCCAGCCATGCCCCCCCCCCCTCGTCCGTCAGATGGGGGCGGAGGCGGGGGCGGGGGCGGGGGCGGGGGCGGATCCGGGTGCGATCGCCGGGGGCGCTGGCGGACCCACGGCTTCATTCATTTCCACTTGTCAAAGCAGCTGCCGGTGGCGATGTGGACCGGCTGACGCGCTGCCAACGGCAACAGGCGGCCGCTGGCGCCGGCACCGACAAGCCGCCGCTCTCCGTCCGGACACGGCACCGCCCCCGGCACCGCGCTCCTGATCACGGCAGCGCCGCCGGGGGACGGCAACAAGCGGCCGCTGGCGCCGACGCCGACAAGCCGCCGCTCTCCGTCCGGACACGGCACCGCCCCCGGCACCACGCTCGTGATCACGGCAGCGCCGCCGGGGGACGGCCTCGGGCGGGGGCGGGAATCTCGAGCCGGGGAGAGGCGGAGGAACCGTCTTGTTAGGGACGAAGTCGGGGGGACGGGGTCGGTGTGGACCGGGTTTTAGACGCAGGGTCCGCGGACAGACTGTCCGCGTGGGGTCTCCAGGACGTGCTTTACGGGCCAGTTTTGACAAGGTACTGCCTTTGGGTCTTCCGGTGGACCTTGCAGGACTTTCCGAAAGGCATACTCTTGCCATAAGCTCCCCCCCCCCCCCATAGAAAGCTCCCACAAAGCGTCGGGCGGGTCAGCACGAGTCAGCTTTGCCCGACACCGCCTTACGTCGGCACTCACGAACACCTCCGCCAGCCCGACCCTGCCTACAGGCTGTCGCCGACCCGGCCTCTGAGGGCTGCTCTCCCGACAGGCGGTCTTAGACAGCGCGCCCTCACAGCCGACTCCGACCAGGGCTGCTCCGAGAATGCCCTCGTTCGGGCGGCTCGGTTCAGAGGCCGTCTCCGAGACAGCGGCCTTTACACGTCACTCAGAGAGGACGAACCGACACCCGCCCAAACTCTCCGGAATGGCGGAAGCGGGGGGGGGGGGGGGGAGGCAATTCCGCGTCTGGGAAAACACGACATTCCGCTAAGGGATCACAACATTCAGGAAGAGCTCACATGAGAATCTCGCGCGCTCCCTCCCCATCCCTGACTTGGCCGTCACTGGTCGCGAGACTGACCTACACAAGACAACAGCTGCGGAGCTGCCGAGGGCCGGCCTCAGAATGACGCCCTGAGACACAGCTCCTGAGAGGGCAGGCGCCATGAGACACAGCTTCTGAGGGCAGGCGCCCTGAGACACAGCTCCTGAGAGGGCAGGCGCCCTGAGACACAGCTCCTGAGAGGGCAGGCGCCCTGAGACACAGCTCCTGAGAGGGTAGGCGCCCTGAGACACAGCTCCTGAGAGGGCAGGCGTCCAGCCGCACAGAACGCTTGGCAGGCAAACGGCCTCCATCGGAGCCGCTGAAGCACCGCCCCAACGCAGAGGCGGACGCCTGGAGCCAAAACTGGCCCGGCGCATGTGACGACAGCAGTGTCTGGACTATTTCGGGGCGGACAAAGGGTCTGCCACCGGAGCAGAGACCACCGAGACGAGATTGATGGTGTTTGAGTTAGCGCGCCGAAGCGCGATCATTAGTTCGAGCCCCATGACACCTCTGGGCTACAAACCTAAGGCGTTATCAACATTTTTCTATTGGTTTCGCTAGTTCATCTTGATATGGACGACACATAGCCTGCCGATTACAACGGCTACTGGTGTACGAAAGTCCAACCAAGATACCAGCAGACACATCTGTGAAGGAGTCAAGAGCCCATGAATCGCAGTAAACTAAGGAGCGTGCCGAGGCCGTGTCATTACGAAATTTCAGACAAGCTTAATGCAAACAGTTGGACGGAAAAAAGGGGAGCGAACGGGGGAGGGCAGACAATCAAGCACTGCTCCCAACAGATTAAATCGTCATGTACCACTTGTATTGCATTGTCTCATGAGTGACATCGTGTCATAAAACACACTGACGGCCAAAGCGCAGATTTAAGACAAAACGTCACGAGCACGTGCGGAGCGCGCGGTGCCGAGTACGAGCGCAAGCCTCCTGTGGCAGCCCCGGCAGCTGCGGGCTGCACTGACACGATGCCGTCCGTCACTCCACTCACCCACGAGCTGGGGCAGCCCTTCTCGTACAGCTGCCGGAGGTGTTTGCAGGGCGTGGCGTCCTCGCCGTGGGTGTCCAGACACGCCCAGAACTGGTCCCGGGCGTCCCAGCAGACCTGGCGGGCCGCCTTGTCCGGGAACGACATGGCTGTGGCAGAGCAGGAGGCCGCGTCAACCAGCCGGCCGATGACGTCGCAAGGGTCTGTGGCTCGTGACGTCACGCGGGTCCGGGGCTGGTGACGTCACGCGGATCTGGGGTTGGTGACGTCACGCGGGTCGGAGCCTGATGATATAACGCAATCTGGGGCTGGTGACGTCACGCGGGTCCGGGGCTGGTGACTTCACGCGGGTCTGGGGGCGATGATGTAACGCGGTCTAGGGCTGGTGACGTCAAGCGGGCCCGGGGATGATGACGTCACACGGGCTGGAGCTGGTGACGTCACGCGGACCTGGGCTGGTAACGTCACACAGTATCGCCAGTTACGTGATGCCCACCTGATTATCATCTCTGGCGATAAGTGAGACAAGGAGCGACTTGTGACAATCATTGTCTTACCTACTGTATTTTGTTATTTGCTATTGTACAGATCACAGCTCGGCAGTTGTTTGCATGCCCTAAGGCGTTTATATTCCGCGTGTTGGTTCCCGTGTCATACGGCATATTGGTGCTACGACTGGCCGATATGAAATGTCGCAGTCGCCTGAAAATTCGTCTCGTGTGCGCCGAACATCCACGAGATTATTGTATAAGACAAACAATGTTTGGAAAATTGTGTATAAGCCTCTTGTAATATCTCCTTGTATAATTCCGGAATTAAATCCCAAAGCCTGAATGAAAACTTAATGCACTATGCTGTGCACTTGACAAATGCAGTACAAAGTTCACGTCACACGTCACACGTTCACGTCACGCTATCAGCAGCAGTCCGTGTTCGCCAAGCCAACTGCCAAATGAGCTTCCTGGCAGCAAAATGGTCGGAATAGCGCGCCGCTGTGGTCTGCTCTCAAAGGGGACATGTTTCTCACTCATTCCGCGAAGATGAACGCCAACGCTGGCAACCAACAGCGCCTCCGCGACAGGACGTCATTCGTAGCCAGCGGGCCGCCGGGCGCGGCTGCCGCTGGCCCGACCGGCGGCGCTGGCTGGCCCCCTTCCAGCCCGTTCGCCACCGCACCGCCGGCCAGGGACACATCCGCTGCGACCGGCGGACTCCGTCGCCCACCCCCGACGGCCACTGAGGGCGCGCGGCCAGCTGCTCCGCCCGGCCGGCCGGGCTCCATCAACGGCGGCGTGCGACGGGGAACACAGCTGACGTCGACACCCGGCGTCACGCCCGGGACAGCGGGCTGTGCAACAGGGAAACGCGGCTCCAGTGGTCAGTGCGCGCCAACAGCGTATTTTAACCGACTTCACGTCGACTTACGGCCAGAGAGCTTCCAAGCAGATGACCTGGTGTGGACCAAGTGGACAAGGACACGCGAAATACTTCAATGGGCACGCCTGCATGATGGGGTTTCGATTCCAATTTTGGTCTCTAAAAATCACCGGCGGGTCCGCACATTGCCCCTTGAGCCAAGCGGCACGATGAACAATTTGGTTCAAAGCTTTGTCAAAATATTATATCCATAATTATGGTGACTTTTACTAACGCCAAGTTTAGCTGGGAAGATATGCATGAGTGTGCTCAGTTAGAAGCAAGCCTCAGACGTGATGACACAAGCTCACTTCTAAATATTGGCATGCCAAGTGGGAAAGACTGCCCTAGACAGCACACTTCTCTGTTTAGTAAATATGCTCCTCAATGCATCATGGTTTGATTACGTCATCGTCCGCTGCACAACATTGATGCGAGCTAATATACGGCCGCTATATCTGGCAATCGTGCTCACGAAAGCCAGGTATGAACGCCTCGGCAGCGACATTTTTTCTTGGTCTTGATCACCGCATGGCTTATGGAATGGCACGATTTATATGACGTGATTATGACCTCGTGAATGCCAAGGTGACTTTCAAAAACTCTCGCTGCGATATTCTCCCCAATTTTCACGGGCGTATAGCTCAGAAACTAGACGGCTTAGGTCTTTAGGACAGTATTGTTAACTGCACCAAAAGGTCTTCAAGATGGCTATTTCAGTTCAAAATGTAAATTTGGAATACTCCCTTCAAGGAGTGGGCTGAGTGGTATCCCTGCAAAGATAAACGACGTCGCCGCACTGTTTTGCGGGAAGCAAACCACTAATCGCCTAAGCGCCCAGAGGTCCTGAGGTCCTGCCCGCAGCCGCTTCCCCCACGGGCTCTTGCGCTGTCCACCAGGCTTTGCCGCGCTGCCAGCCTCGAGACGTGCTGGGCCTTTAAGATGCGTGACGTTTTGGAAAGTTATGGGGTGAATGGCTGCCCGGGTTTATCTCGGTGAAGGCTTCGGAACCAAACTTTTACTCGCCAGCCTCTTGATGCGTCCCCAAACGCTGAGGATCGCGACCAGGCCTAATAGCAGTCCACCTAAGCTCCCGTTCCTGCATCCCCTTCACGTAAGCAAACTGACAGGAATCTCTGCGATAACCACCAGAGCAGGAGCTCGATGAATCGTAGCTACCACATTCGGTCCGATACAACTCGCTTTATTTGCTTGACTTGGCGACACAGTCAAGTCAGTTCTAACCACCCCGGGAATGCGCAACGCCCCCGCCAACGAACCATTCCACCACTGTAGCGTTATGACCTGTCAAGGGGCTACACATCGGGCCATGCGGCCGCCAGGCACGCCCCGTTCACATGGGGTGGCAATGCGGCATTCCGCCGTCATGCCAGCCGCGTGTTCTGGTTCACATGACGCGAGAAACTTTACGCGACAAACTCTGCTATCGAAACCTGCCGTGTCAAGTTTGACCACGTTTAGCCTGTTCGTTCAAGTGCGAGACACGCCAGTTGTAACAACACCCTCCACGACACACCGTCCTAATTACACCATGATCAGAAATGCAATACCATGGAGTACATGCTCCGAAGGGATGCCGTAAAACTCAGAGCTAGTGCAGGAAAAGGCCCTTGGATGATACAACCTATTTTAATGCAAACAGGTCGCATGTTGAGAAAAACAAAGTACATGCCCTGTAAACCAGACCACAAAAACCCGACGATCTGGTCTAACACAGGCGAACCATATTTCCTGGGAGTGCTGCTCTGTCAAGGTACATCAAGCTGTGGGGTCGGAGAGCTTTCTGTGCAGAAAGTGAATCAACTAGTGCTAGTGTGAAGCACTACTCGGAACGGAACATATTTTCTCTGTGATGTCTTTATGGACGCAAGTTACGAGAAGCGAACTTACCAAGGCTACACTTGGCAACGGCGTATTGGCAAAACGCAGCTGTAGATGACCTGGGGTGAGTCGCGTGATGTGGCGTGGTCAAAAGGGCTTGCAGCCTCACGGTTTAGACCGACTGCGAGCTGCCAATGCCACCTTGTCCAACAAGGCAAATAATATTGTCGCTGATACCTAGAACAAAAATGTACTTGTCCAGCACGATAAATCACATTGCCACTGGTAAGAGCAAAAAAAACCTTCCAGGCGAACAAGGTCCGCCCATGCATTGCGCATACGAGAGAAAGAGTTTTGATGGAGCGTAGCGTAAGCGAATCCAAGAATGGAGGGGTAACGTAAGCGTAACGTAACATCACAGCGTGGCGTTACATCTGCACAGCGCAACGTTACGCCAGCTGCGACTGCCAAGTCATACTAAAATCCATAAAACAAAATTAAGATATTAAAACCAGACGTTATTGGCTTCCTCTCATCATAAAGAATACAGCCGTTAATCATATCGCATCTCTTGCTCAAGTGGGGCCCAGTAGCACGTACAGTTTTGGGATGTTACACAGCGCAACCAGAGGGAGACGGGGTTGGCCAACGTAACCCACGCGTAACACAGGGTAGAGGGTTTAAGATGGCCATACATGCGCCACGCGACTCATTGATGGTCCAAAAATTTGGCGATGTTAGCCCCATAAGTGCCCAGGACTTCAGAAACAAGCGTAAACAACGGTGATGGAGTGATTCGGCATCTTCAGAAATGGAAATATGACCATATCAAAACGACGTACATTTTTTTGTTGTGATATTTTGCTGAAACAGCTATCAGCTCTGAAAAAACCGCCAGTGGAATATTTCCAGTCTAGTTTAGTAACGCTCGTTAAAAATATTCGGGGATGAGGAGAATACACAGCTTTATCTGATAAGTCGAGAACGTGTGAGTTGCATCAGGCTGGTACCTCACCCGGGTTAAATAACGTAAATGACCAATGACTTTTTCACTCCACTTGACAGCCGCAACTGATTTGTTGATTTACACCATTCCAAAGAGGTGTGTGCTATTCTCAAAGGGGAAACTAGCTGTATGTATACGCATCAGTTGCAATTGGCGTTAGCGCTGGCGGCGGTCGCATGCCCAGCCCGCCCGCTGGTGCCGGGTCGGCCGGACCACGCACCTGTGGCCGACGAAGAGCGACAGGCGATCTCGCGGCTCAGTCGCCCCCAGCACAGACCACACAGCGCGAGCCAGCCGGCGGCGGCGTCCGGCTGACACTGGGTCCCTGCCGCTGCCGCTCTCGTCGCCCACCGCTTATTCCCGGCCTCCAGCAGCCCGGAATACCGCCGCCGGCACTATTTCTACAGCGGTCGGGCGACAGGCCGTGCCATCTAGCGACTACGCACAGGACTGACTCTTATAAACTAGCTGTCACAGTGCAAAGCTGATTCCTGTCTTACAGGGCCGTCCATAAAATGCGTTACACGTTTCTGGTCATTTTCAAATCTGGGTCCTACTCCTCCTCATGGTTCTGCACTAGTTATGCTGGATCCACGACCGACGTATGCGATCAGATCATCAGGCACACCCCGGAACCAACATCCAATAGATTCATCCATGTTTTTGCCACCACGAATGTACTTTTTCTAATAACCACACAGAGTTTGACACCCTTACAGCTATTCCATTCCACAATGTTATGGTCGAGATGAAGCATGTTGTTGCCACCATTTAGCAGGTCTGACCATAACAGTCCTGGCCCTGCCTACTGTGCTCATTCTGAGCTAACCATGTTTGCAATATAACTGTTCCAAACCACCATGAACTCCATTTCTTTTCTAGTGCCTGTCATGGGTATCAACCACAAACCACAGGATCTAAATGGCATGAATAAATGGTCATAGAATTTCCTAATGTAACCAAATAAAATATGAAAAAACCATTCCATTGTTATTTGCACACCATGGCTCTGAATCATCTTCAATGGAGTGCCAGCACTCAAAGTTCATTCTTGTTGCAGGATATCTATGCTAGCATCAAGTCAGGCCAGTCAAAGTCTTAGAAAATGTGCAATGCAGGAGCTTATCAGATATTGTGAATACTCTAATGCTACTTACTACAACTAAAATGACAGGAGTAATCCCTGCTCTCCCTTACATAAATGTCAACAATTTGAAAGCCCAATGGCATTACAGCCCCCGAGGATCCAGTACTTGGTCAGTCTAACACAATAATGATCTATAGTCAAATCTGTGATAGAAATGCCTGTAAACAAATTGCTCAGATGCACATAGCTTAAATAGTTACAGCTTGAGACACAGCATAAAACTCAACCTCAGAGTGTACATGCACCAACTGCACCCGAGCCAATAGCTGCTTAGGTTACCTGCTATAGAATGCAGTGATTAACTATGAATACTGTCATGTACTGAATGTGATATACATTTTACTATGATGTAATAACTATTGTCAGGCTTCAATTTGGGTTATTTTGTAATAGTGTTTCTAAGTTTATCAATCTTTGACTTTTATTGTGCAGATGTCAAGCATGTTTCTTTTGACTTGTGTGCCATTCGCCATGCACCACGGCCATACCTTCAAAGTATAACCATTAAACGGGTCATCCTTTTTTACTACAGATCTCTACAAAACATGACGGGCTTACAAGCACACATCTGGAGCCTGTGAACCCACATGTCACCATGCCATGTTCATGTGTTCATGTGCCATATGTACCTGCAATGGACTCACCTGGTGCCTGCACTTGTTATCAGGTCTTATCTCTGGGATAAATGTTAACAACATTTTTCATTTATTAAAAGTTATGCATGAATGTGTGAGAATAATTAATGGCAATGTATTTTAAGAAACTTTCAGCAGGATTAACAAAATTATGTCACTTAAAGAAAGTGTTATGCTTCTGAAAGTGGAAATGAACAAGGAGCAGCTTCTGCATCCCAGGAAAACATACGCATATGATATCAGCCATGATAGTGGAATGTCACCTACAAAAAGGCAGTTTGGAATCGACGCTCAAATAATTATATCGCCAGGATCTCGTTCAAATGAGCCAAATCTTTGGATGCCAAAGAAATAAAGATATGCCCCAAAGCCAGCGCAGTTGTGCAGATACCTACTTAATTCAGAAATACCCAAGCCCACTGGCCGCTCTTGCCGTAGATCCCGTAACCACGCTCTTGCCGCAGCCTGCAAGCCTCCTTTTAGCGAGCCAGGGCAGTAGAACACTTGTAAGTCGTGTGTTGTGAGCCGGACGGTCCCGAGGCCCCGTGGTGCACGTGCGGAGGACGAAATGCATTTTTTTAGTGGCTTTATCTTACATTATTCAGTTCCCTACAACGCTACTACGCCCAGACTCTACGACGACAACGTTATTGACACATATTATAATGACGTTATTCGCCAGGAGAGGAAAGCGAGGTTCCGTAACTAATCCCGCACAAAAACCGGCTCATCCTAAGCATGCCCGGTTGCCAATGAAGAGGGAAAGCACGGGAAAACCACCCATGTGCAATTCGGCTTTGATAAGCTGGACAATGCGGAAAATACGGTCAACCAGGACCGTCATTCAAGATAATAATTTATTGCACACATGTGGGGGAAAGCTCGTCAGTAAAAGCTCCGTTGCGTTGAGTGCCGGGCCGTTATATTGCCCCAGCATTATTTCTAACCATCAAGAGGCTAGAAAGAGTCCAGTGGCGAATCAGCTCCCGTCAGTTTTTTTTTTGTAATCAATAACGATTTTATCACGAAGTCCAGAACGAGAGGTTAGGGCAGGATCATTGCCGCCTAACAGCGTTTAGCATGGCATAGCGACGTTCAGGAGTAGGAGTATTAGGGATGTCATACTTTCCCGGCTGGTTGGAGTCATCGAGTCGCTGAATGGTGGCGATGCCTTGGAGTTTGTGCATATCGCAGTTTGAGGAATACGTTTGAACCGGACATGTAACAGCGCTCGTTTTATAGCGCATACTTCCGCAAACAACACCGTGCTGAAGTCTGGAAGACGTCCGTTGAACCGGAAACCAGTACCGACGGCTGCTGCACCAACCTGGTTACCATGAGTAGATCCATCCGTGTGAAAGAAAACGGATTCGGAATGTGCATTTCTGTTCTCCGGGAAGGCAGATTGTATCTCATCAGAAGACAGTTTTGATTTTTTTCAGATCTGAATACGTGTTCTATTGAGGGATCATCGTAAAGCCAGAAATCGCGCCTCTTTGACAACGTCGGGCAGGAAACACGACTATTCGCGGGTATTTTCCATATATCATTGGACAGGCTTCTCGATTTTTATCGCTCAACTGTTAGGTGGCATCTGCCCCCATACGGACCACCGCTATATTACGCTGTTACGCGGATATTCTTCCATGTTATATCGTCGTCGTTTCCTCCAAGTTTTTTTTTGCCATCCGCGTAACTAGGAGTACTGGCTCCTCATTTTTCAGCAATATTGTCATGCTCACCCGAAGGATTTCTCACCAATACCAAATGGCAATCGCGAGATGCCCCAAACCCAGTTTGCCTAAAAGCAACAAGCGCCATGACTGACTCAATGATTTAGAAGAAGTTCTTGTGTGTTTTTTGAAGTTACGCTCTCCTATGACGTTGTATAATGCATAATGTTATGAACACCGTTCTGGAGATAATGTCTGTACTCAATAATAATCAACCTCACGAAAGAAAAAAGCGTCTTGGGCGTAATATGTCTACGGACAGTTATCATATTTCCTTAGATTCACTACGCACGTCGCTTTAATGACGGTTATTGGCTAAATAGCCCACTGCACTGATCTGCAGGTAATTACCATGGAGGCAATTCCGTGTCATAAATCGACTAACAAGGGCGACTGCACATTGCGGCGACAACATTGGCGCACCGACATTGCATGGGCTTTTACGAAACAGATGCTTTCGTCCTAGCATGGGCAGAAAACGTCACTTTACTGGGATTCTGCAACTAGCATTTATATATTCACACCGCCTCATGCATGCTCGTCACCGGTCCTGTCGAAGGGAGGCCTATAGTGTGGTCACTACACACTGTCTGCAGCTTATGGGCAGCGACCAGACCCTCTCGATTATGAGCGGAACCGTACAGCCACACACCACACACACCTCGGAATTTATCCCCAGTACATAGCAGCCAACTGGTAAATAGTAGCCACCTGGTGCAAGGCTCACCGTGGCATCATCACGTAGCCCCCATCCTCTCTCGTCACTGAATGATGCCGGAATTCCTCATCGGCACGCCGGATCCCTCGTCGGCTCTTTATCCTCAAACTCCGGAATCCTCATGGGCAGGCCAGAATCCCTCCTCGGCTCCTCATATTTTGTCGCCGGTATCACACACCGGCACGACGGAATCCCTCATTGGCTTAAATGTGGGAACTACCCCTTCTGGCACCGCTGCAATGATTCTAACAACAACGCCCTCAGTGAACGATTTCCCTGCCCTGCTTACGGTCAGTTACTCATGGTCATCTTCCTTTCTGGGGCTACATATTAAACCACCAACGGGAAAAATCAACAAACTTTTCCAGCAGCCCAACGTCCTTTTCCGACTTCCACCTGCTGGGAGTGGCAAGAAGGCAGCTGAAAAGCGAGTCTCGTGTTTTGAGAGTCGCGAATCCATCAACGGCATTCTACACGTACTACTGCCACTCTCACTTGCGGCCAACGGCGTGCAAAAACGCGTCCCACCTCATCTGTGAGTCGCACAGAGATCCACCAACAGCCAACTCACTAATTTCTGCAGGGAGTAGGGTCCCTCAACCCCTGACTAGACAACTGCTTACGCACCGCGTAGGACTTCCTCCAACGCTCCCCGCGAGGAGTCATAAGGCAAAACATATGTGGCGCATTTAGCCCGTGGTGACAAAAATCGTTTCATGCATGTGGCCCACGGTGGATAGATATGTCGCGCGCCACACAACCTTTGTTGCTGTCTTTGTGGGTGTGGTCTATTAAAAGATTGGTTTGAATTGGAATGGGATGGGTAACTGGTTGCAATAGCAGCGCATACCTCGTGGTCTAAGCCCACTTTTATATTTGCAGCAGGACCGAAGTAGCAAAAATAACGACGGTCTGCCAGCGCTGGCAGGTTGGTGCCGGCACGGATGGCGATAGCTGGGGTCGTGCGGAGGCCCCTATGATCAGGCGCGGGCAGGTTGATTGAATGGTTTCCAAGCGTTTGCAAAGGTTGACCGAGATAGTGCTGAATACGAGGCAGTTTAACTCAAGTGTTAATCGAAGGAGACATATTGAAAGTGTGGCAAGCGTGGTGCTATCTGCACCCCAGGTATGACCAGAAAGGTACTTGAGGACGTTTCACGTCGTTTCAGGCAATGATGTTTGACATCCTCTATGTGTGCTTGGTAGGTTGAACTCGAATCGTGTTATTCACAGAACTTTGCGTGACTTGTACAACGGTATAGGAATACCACAAATTTGTGAAGAGACGGCCAGTGACAGTAAGGGACTGTCACTTGTTTGACCTGGTCTTAAAATGAGCGTGGAGGACTTTGGAGCGGAGAAAAAAAAACATTCTGAGCACCAATACACACAATGATCAATCGCCTTCTGTAAAGCTGAGAAAGACTCTTGACAGTCTCTGTGTACACTCTACGCAGCAAGATCGTCAGCAAACAGCGAATATCGGATACGTCCTAGGGTGTTAGGAAGCGTGAGAAAAACATTGATGTCGGTAAGAAACAGCGTCGGAGAAAGTACACTACCTTGTAAAACACAATGATCCACTGCATAGGTTCCTTGCGCGACAAATCGTCTTAGATGCGCCACAATGCACAGATAAGCGAGGCATTTTTATGAAGTCAAAACTTTGACGTCATTGCAAATCCACCGGAGATATTTACAGCCCATCGGAAACTCTCCGTTCTAGGGCCTCGGTGAAACTTTAGAGCAAGACTTGGCGGCAATTGGCCGTAACTTTTTTCTTATTCATCCCCCAGGTGCGGAAAGATCATGCTGTACTTTATAACCGCACCATCACGAACATGGCGACCTGCCGACTTTGGGCTAGAATGGGTTTCATGATTTTGACCAGTTTCAACCGTATTTTTGGCATAATTTTATCCAATTGTTGTCATCTGTGACAGGCACTCATTCCACTCTTGTCTTATCGACGGAATTATTATTTCCGCTGGTGAGAAACCATGCAGTGACGTTATTATTAAAATCAGCGGACCATTTAACTCTGTTTTTCGCGCATTCTCACGCATGAGAGACGATTACAAGCGGTCTCGTGTTTTCTATTCAAACTACGCACAACACCGTAGTACTTGTCGTGTCTGGTGTTGGCTGTGGACGGTTGTAGCGTTGTGGTCAGTTGTAACGGACTGGGACGTGACCATCACATTGCGAGCACGATGGTAGGTACAAGAGGCTATGTGGCAACTTGTGGGGCAGGTAGTCTGTAACAGGACCTTGCCATTTAATATCTATAATGCCTTGCGTAAATTGTGTGGTAAAATGATTTTAAAGCTGCAAGATGCCTAAACATATTTTTAGGTATATAAAAAGGGAATCTTGAAAGCCCTGAGGCCTGGTGATCCCCGTCTTCCTTGGCTC